GGAAAACCTCGAGGTCTTCGTGGAATCATGCGTTGCAAATATGCCTGACGCGGTCCGACAACTGAAATCGGAAGAGGACTCACAACGACTGGACCAGATCACCGCACTCAGAGATGGCCTCACTTCTAACCTCCACCGTGGCTTGGTAGAGGTGCGGACTCACCTCGAGTCCCTTCTTATGATAATTTCATTCGCCTTTGAGCACCGACAAGAAGCCGCCCAAGAATTTTGGGCTGACCCCGATGGGAATCTTTATGGATTCCTTCAATGGGCGTCCAAACGGCAAACTGTTCCTCGGGTGAGCGCTTTTTGCGAAATGCTGTGTTCGATATCCGAAGGCGAAGAAAATGCAGCCGCGGCGCATCGATTCCTGTCGGAAGAAGACAAATTCATGGCCTCCAAATTCAAACGATCCACAACAATGAATTGGTCGCAAATGTTCGCTGAACTAAAGCTTTACGCCTCTCGGGTCACTGAGAAGCCTTCCACTACAACAAGCCCCCAAGGGCCGCAAGGGATCTTTCGTCCACGGAAACCAGAGCCGGTGGAGATGAATGAGCCTGAGAGCCCAGTGATGCTGACATGCTACCTTCGGCTGATAGGCCACCTGTGCAAGCAGAGCCGACCTATCCGAGACTGGATGCTGCAAAACGAATCTTTCAATGTAGTTAGCACGCTGCTAGACCTGTGCAGTGGGCCGATTCCATCGCACCTTCGGGCGACTACCTTTTCAACTCTCTCCGCATTGATGACTGACAAATTTTCCACCGTTGGAAACGAAACGTGGTCCCGTCTCGATGGGTGGTTATCAGGAGGAACCGGGGCGTCCGGCATTAGCAAAGTGCCTTTGGTTTCCAACCCTGCCGTCTGGCACCAGCAACAAGCCTTGCAGAAGATTGGAGAGAACTTTGACCAGACGAATGCATTTGTTGTTCTTATCAATGCACTTACTGCTCCCTCCTCCGACGCAATTGACGACCCAATGTCACTTCCTTTCCCGGAGACCTTGGGTGGAACTTATCGCATGTCGGGGATTGAGCCTTACATCGATTTCATCTTGGGGCACGCCTTTTCACGGAAGATTCAAGATCTTAACGAGTATCAATCCCGCATGTTGACCTTCAACTGCCTGGACTTCGTTGTAGCCAGCTTGAAATCCTTCAATGAAGACCTAGTGTTACTTCTGAGCCAGCCATCCGTGTCTGATTCTCCGACGCAGACTTCATCGCTACTCACCTACGTGCGCTCTCACCCGTTCGCCCGCGTGGTGGAATGGCTTTTCAACGAAGACGTACTCAAATCTCTGTTTGCAGCCTCTAAACAAGACGTTTCGGATGTTGCTACCGCGTCACCTGACTCTGTTTTGGTTCTGACCTTGCACCGGAGTCTAGAGGTTATGAACCTGCTTGTGGACATGCAATCGACATACTTTAACATTGTCAAGCCTTTGGTACACTCCCAGCCCGTACCATCCCGGACCATCGTCGCGAACTCCTCGCTCGCTTCATTTGAGGACACCGTGCTGAACAATCTGACACTCATCCCGTCACTCTGTCTCTATTGTGGCACGGCGCATGAACAACTCACCGTCATTTCCATGGCTTTGCTGGAAAAGCTTACTAGTTCCAGAAAGCTCAACAAGATGACTTCGCCGGAACTCATCAAGTGGCAATCCTCGAACAAGATTGTGGAGGTGCTTGCATCTGAGGTCGACGTGGATAGCATATCCCGGCCTCTTGTGTTACAAATGGAACCTGATGTAAGAGAACTTGATTTCGGCCCGAATGCCGCCGGCTATGTCATTCGGGAAAGCCTTCTTGCTCTTTTGAACAGCTGCCTCGGAACAATTACAGATCGCCCAACGGTAGCTCATCTGCTGCTGGGCTTCGACTGCGTGGGCAATATTCTTGATGTGTCATCGGAAGGGCTATTCGCAAATCAAAGTTCCTTGTTACATGCCATCGTGAATTTCCTGAAGTCTTATCCGGAGATCCTCGATGCGGGCATTATATCATGGGTAGTGCACCTCAAACGTATGGCTTTCGAAGTGTTAAAGCATTTGTGGTCATCGAAGCTGGCAAGCTACTACACCCTTGGTGAAATGCGTGCTCAGGCATTCATGCGCGAGATGTTTGCCTACCAACCGATCATCAGCCCGAGCACGGCCTGGAATGGATTCCCTATCGATTCAGAGGAATTTTGGCTTACAGACGCTGCCACTGCCTTGGCAGAATTCTTGCTTTACCGAGGTCACCTCTTCACATATGCTGCAACCGAGGTTCGCTCGACAGCAAAGGCTAGATCACCGGCTTTACATGCCCAAATTCTTTCAGTTTTGCTCGGAAATACTACTGCGGATAGCGGTGAACCAACCTCCAGTCCGTCCGTGTTTGATCTTTTCGATTTCGCAGATCTTGATGTTGGACGCGAGTTCAACATGCCCGAGCTTTACTTGCTCGGTGATGTTGCTCTTCAATTAGAAAGCAAGCGGGAGGATGGCGTGTACAGTATGGAAGGGGTAGAGGAGATGATACAAATGCGGAAGGCAGAACTCATGACCAATGGACCGCTCCGCCCGCATGATGAGGAACAGTTGCTAGCTGAGGCCAATGATCTGAAGTTGTTCATTCTTGCAACAAAGCAGAACAACCTGATTCAAATCAATCGCTATCACGCTCTCCGTTCCTGGGTAGAGCTCGTTGCTACGATGATCACTTGCTCTGCTATCGATGAAGGAAGCAGGCCGGCTTTCATTCTCCATTCAATCCAACTGATTCTCCCCAAGCTCACAACGGCAATCGAGGCAGATCTTCCCGAAGCACTTGAACTGGCACGATTGGCAGAATTGTTGATCGGTAGACTTGCGTCGGAGCCACCGGCAACAGATGTGTCTCGAAGCGGGGATGTTATTGACGAAAAGCTCCACCAGCTCTTCCAACTCTGCATCCGAGGTACCAACCTGGCAACAGGCAATGTGTTATTGAGAGAAACACTTTACAGTATTTGTTCCCACTACATAATACGCATCACATCGTCGAACAAGGGCCACGAAAACCTACAACGCCTTAGCCAACATGTCATCAAAGCGGCCGGTTCTAGCCTGATTGAGACCATGTGCGATGACGCCTATACTGGCCAAGAGTCGTGCCGTGCCTCCGCTCTTGTGCTATTGAACAGTTTAGCTGTTCTAGATCGCCAAACTGATTGTGTTTTGGCCGAGTTAATCTCGAGGTCAAACTATTTGAGTCTATTCCTGGATGCCTTGCGGTCTCTTCCCGTCGAACTTCAAAATGCCCAGGGAAGCGGTCAGTCATTTCCCCTTTGAAACAGCCATGTTATTATAACTAATCAAAACTTCAGATACCCCGGCACTACTGGCATACTACGAGTCGCTTTTGTCATTACTTCAGCGGCTGTCTCAAACCAAGGTCGGAGCAAATTGTGTGCTCAACTCTGGTCTCTTCCAAGCTGTGCACGAATCACGACTTTTCGCTGCTGATCCAGACATCGGAATTGGTCAGTCAATCATATCCAGCTCCAATTGTACTTTGCTGACCTCCTCAGACATTGAGAATCCCGATGCCCTTCAGAGGTATTACGATCTTCTCCTTTCGGTCCTTCAGGTCATTGTATATGCGGTTTTCTCCCGAGGTATCCACAACGAACAGCTTAAGGAGCAGACCCGGATATTTTTGGCCGAAAACCGGGCATGCATGGTGGGAATCTTCAAACGATCTGCGAAGATTGGAAATACATCAACCGCCCACCATAAGACTCTATGCGAACTAGTCAAGACATTCATGGCTCTTGTTACTGCGACGGATTTCATGGAGGTACGTTTTCTTTTCTTGCAATCTATTGAGCCGAATTGATGATCGTGTGACTAACTGAGTGTAGTTCGAGGAGCAGGAAGTCCAACATATCGCCCGCCCAGCGATGTTCTCATGAGTCTTTGACTACTGATGCTCACTGGAAAAATTGAGAAGAAATGCATGTATCATTATGACCCGGTGGAGTGCAGGCGGTTCCCAGGTTGAGCGATTTTATTTTGAATTTATTTGCATCACATTTAATCTGTCGTGTGTAAGATGTCCGTCCACTTCGACCGTTCGGGCCTTGCTGTGGCTATATTTTGTAGAAATGAGTGCTATGTTCACTCTTGTCGAAGTAACAAAGCCAACAATTAAGTTCCTGGGTCGAGAGGCTATGTTTCTCTGATGGATAACTGATCCGTCCGAGGCTCCGAGGCGTACCCAGAAAATGCACACCCCAAACCTCGCATTAAAGCTCTGAGCGCATCGTTGACGATTATGTACGACAACTTTTTGGGAGCCTGATGAAAGATGCGTACTACTGTGGTTCATGATACTGTACAATTACTCATTTGGACCCTCGCATAATCTTTAATATACTTGGTAGGGGCATTGGCCATGTATCTTTTTTGATGTCTTTTTTGATGTCTTTCGTGTCATCTTGTTAGATATCATTTTTGCTGGCTGATTTCGTCTTCTAGCCAGCACAGCGAAAAGAATAGACACAAAGCAGCGTTACAAAACAGAGTATAGTCCATCGAAAGAAAGATGCTTCGGTCCCAATTATAATCTAGCCCTAACTCCCATCAATTTGATAATCCCGAGTTGACTGTACATATCAAATCTTGGAGTATATCCCAAAGTCCATACATGTAGTATATAGTATATAGTAGTGATACCATGCTCCTGCCTTTGGTGAGGTCGTAGTTTCCTTGCCCTAACTGGTTTCCATGGCCACCCATAGTTCCTTCCTGTATAGCTTCATCGTATTCTGTTTAGCATCTCATCGTACCTTCCTGTTGCCATTGCCCGTTGCCATGGATCATCCCCAACTTGTTATTTATTTCCCCCCAGTCCTCTTTTCCTCTTTTCCTTTTCTTCTTCTCTCCCCCATGCCACTGGCTATTTTTCAATTGCTCTTGCTTTTGACTACAAAACCATTTCTTATTGCTTTCAAAGCTTTTCATCATGCACCCTTCTTCTCCTACTTCTTCTTCTTTTGGCAGAAGGCTTCATCCTTCTCGCCTCCAGCTCCTTTCTAAACATCGCCCACATCCTCTGAAGTCATGCCTCGCCGCCTCGGACTCTGACCGGGACTCCACCCCCTCTGAAGAGCTTCGCGTCCGGAAGACTGTACACTTCCCCGAGGACAAACTCTTCCTAGAGCGGGTCAGGACAATCCCGGCTCGCAAGGATCGGTACCAGAAGACCATCTTCAAAAAAGGTCAAGTTGCGGAGACGAAGTCGTTCCTCTTGTACACTTCGAATACCTCAGGCTCGAACCAGCGGTTCCTCTCCAAGCTTCCTGGAAGCGATGGACCTCGGTACGAACGCCATTCCCAGTGGATGAGCGTTGTTCGTGCCCGCCAACTCGCCGCTGCGTATTCCTCTCAACCCCGTTCTCCGCAATCTGCACCTTCCTCCGATGGGTCCCCCTTCGACATGGCTTCCCTGAAGGACACCCTGCCTGAGCCTGCCCCCAGTGGCTCACCGCATGGGTCTGCCTTCGACATGTTCTCTTTGACCGATGCCTTGCCGGACCCAAATGACACCTTCGACATGCGCTCGCTGATGGATGCCCTGCCTGAGCCTGATGGTTCACCACGCGGGTTTGCCTCCGACATGTCCTCCCTGAAGCGTGCACTTCCCGACCCTGATACTCCCTCTGAAGTATCGTCCCTTGCACTTGCGCCCAAGTATGTGGTTGCTCCCCACTCCTACGATCTACCTGCAGAGGTTCATGTACGTGCGGTTCACACCCACGTTCAGGATGGCCCCTTCGCCACCTGCTTCTACAACCTCTGTGGGCTCTGCCTTGTGTTGGGGTTCTGCTTCCCATGCCTTGCACCAGCATTATATGCTGCGCTTGTGCTCCTGACCATTTATGGGACGTGCTTTTGATGCTGCCGCTGACGGTCCATATTCGGTGTCCTCGCTCCTTCCTGACTGGCTGGCTTCCTCTTTCTTTCTCCCTGCTCCTTCCTCTGCTGCCTTTATGTTGTTGTTGTTGCTTTCTGGGTCTGCTTTTTGACGTTTTGTTCTGTTCTGTTGAGGCTTTTGCCGTTTGCTTTTGTGAAAACAAAAACCCCCCCAAAAAAATTGCTTTCGTGTTGGTTGTTGGCGTTTTGATCTGTTCTGCTGAGGCTTTTGCCGTTTGCTTTTGTGAAAACAAAAAACCCCCCCAGAAATTGCTTTCGTGTTGGTTGTTGGCGTTTTGGTCTGTTCTGCTGAGGCTTTTGCCGTTTGCTTTTGTGAAAACAAAAAACCCTCCCAAAAACATTGCTTTCTGTGTTTCTTGTTGATTTTTTGCCGTTTTTTGTTTTGTTTTTTGTTTTGGTTTGTTTTGGGGATATGGTAAGTACTTTGGAGAAAGGGGGACGACGTCTCTGTCTGTGATCGTGCGGGAGGCAACGGAGCGTGTGGTGGCTCAATTGGATGGCGACGAGGGTAAGTATTTTCGAGCATCCGATGGCTTCAAGTCCAAGAGCTAACATGGCGGTCAATTCCAGGTGGCTGGCGGGCATCAAACCGATAGAATGAAACGTCTCTGTCTGTGAACGTGCGGAAGGCAACAGAGCGTGTGGTGGCCCAATCGGGTGGCAACGAAGGTAAGTCCTTGTCAAGTATCTGATGGTTCCAAGAGCTAATATGACAATCAATTCTAGGTGGCTGGTGGGCGTCGCTATCGAAAATTGCACTGATCAAACGTCGCTGTCTGTGAATATGCGGAAAGCAGCAGGACGTGTGGTGGCTTCATTATTTTCTCCTTCAAGGTAAATATTATTCCACCCCGTCCTTTTGGCTTGCTTCATACTAACCGCATGTCTTCCGGGGGAGCGGTTTGGGGACGTCTCTGTCTGTGAACGTGCGGAAGGCAACAGAGCGTATGGTGGCTCAATTGGAGTGGTGACGGGGGTAAGTATACTCCAGGCCTCTGATGGCTCTATCCGCTAATATCCACAGTTGGTTGGTGGGTATCGTCGCCACGAATCGAACCGATCGAAGGGAACGTCTCTGTCTGTGAATGTGCGGAGGGCAGCAGAGCGTTTGGTAACCTGCTTTCCCCCTTGATTCTATCCCCTCAATACTTTTGGAGACAGCGTGGTTGAGCCGCAAGGCCGTCCTGCTTCGTATGCTGACATCGTATAGCTCGGTCGAACGTCTCTGTCTGTGAACATGTGGAAGGCAGCAGGACATATGGTGGCTTCATCTTTCTTTCTTTCAAGGTAAATATGATTCCACTCTGTTTTTCTTCGTCTTGATTGCATACTAACCACATGACTCCCGGGGGAGGGGTAGGGCGAACGTCTCTAGCTGTGAATATGCGGAAGGCAGCATGACGTGTGGTGGTTTCATCCTTTGGCGAAGGGAGTATGTTGATGCATGGATTTCTGTGGCTGCGCTAATTGACTTTTCAGTATCCGCTGGTATCCTGATACTTTTTTCTTTTCTTTTTCTTCTTTTTTTCATCATGTGTTCTCGCAGTGCGAGGGGTATGAAGAAGAAAGGATGAAGTTGAAGCCGAGTATATTTAAGTGGTCTGTGCTTGTCTACAACCCTGAAATGGGCGACCATCGAATACGAAACCAGCTTTACTATTGTTCGTGTACAAGCAACCGTCCAGAACATCATAGGATGTCTATCCAGACGTCAGGTACAAATGGTCTCGTCCTAGCAATTCCCGTCGTCACGGTCGGTGCTGGGAAATTGCCTCTGCATTACCTATAGGGTTCCAGTGCCTCTGTTGATCACGGTGTCATTGTGCGCGAGCGTGTTGGTCATGCCAGGCACCGTGGCAGTTGAGACACCAGTGTTCTCGATTGCTGTCAAGAACTGCGAATAGAGCAAGATCACCTCCCGTCGAGGATACTGTTGGAACATCCCTGTTTGCAGCTGCGGTATCCGTATTCATTGTAATATACGCGCTGTCTGTCCTAGGTATGGAGATGAAGATGGAGATGGTCGAAGTGAGATGAGCAGGACTCAATGATCCTCGTCAGTACTTAGCCTACTGTTCTTGGGGTATTGCCAGACTCACCAGTCCACAAGAATGAGTAGTGATTTCGTGGCCGCTGTAGGTAGCTCCAGAGAAGCCTTCGTCAGGGACAGGGAAATGGGAGTTGATTGTGGATGTTCTCGCTTCCTCACGGGTTAAGTTGAAGCACAGTCATTAGACCACGACATAAAAATGGCTGACACAGCTGCCAGGCCTGTACAGGAGAGAATTGAGATTGAATTCAGATCATGTTTCGTCTCAAAATATAGAAGACAAGTGTGATAATCAAGGAGAGAATGGGATTAGCGCTTTTTTTTTGTCTATAGTATGACAGCATTTTCTAACAGCTAATAACTGATAGAAGTGTAACCAGACTCTGTTCAGACTGGAGTTAAAGCTATATCATGTCTTCCATGTATGATATAAATATGCATGATAGGTGTTTCGGGTTGTCACTTAGGGCTAATTATAACAAAGCCTGAGGCCGAGACCCGAAATCTGCCCTGTAGTGTTTGGTTTGTTTAATTTTACACAGAATTAACTTATTTGCTATCGTCAGGGATGAAGCCTGAGGTTCTGGTATTAATATCAAATCACTGCATGATGCTCCTCTGAAATATGCGGTTCTCGAAACTCGAAACTCGGAGGTCGAGGATTGATATACTCGAACCACTCCACGAATGCACGGGGCTACAACTACAATAAAAATACAGCAGTAATGAGAGAAAAGCATATTAGAAGGATATTCGAGACCACTCCTAAAGGACGACACGTTAATCTGTAAACAAACTCGGGATGCAAGAAAAGCGCCAGCATAACGCCAACCCATGAAAAAGATAAGAGAAGACAGCACAAACTCACAAGACCAGTAACAAGATCAAGTAGATGTTTATGTATGTTGCAAGAAGGGGGAATAGTTGTAAAGAGACAACCCACAAAGCCCGGCCTGAGAACCAAAACTCTATACAAGTCGTGACGTGTAAATGCGCTGAAACAGATCCAGAGAGGTGTGAATGGTGTGTGAGTATAAGGTGGAGGGGGGGCGAAGGGTATGAGACGCCAGAAACCGGAATGGATACAAGGTTGAGTGCGAGATATGAGATAAGCAAACGCTCAACGGGTCGAGGATAGCAACAGAAATATGAGAAAGATAAGACAGGTAGATCATGGACTAGGGAAAGAAAGTCAATGGGCCACGTGGAATGGCAAACTCAGGTATCCGATGAACGCACTACGGTGGTGTCGGAGTTTGTCCGAACTCGGCGTGGTCGCGAGGCTTATTGCGGGATCGCATGTACATGGCATCAGAGTATGTGTTGGCTGGGGGATCAATCGGGCGGGGAAGACTTCTGTACTGTTGCTGCTGTTGGGTCACAACCTCTCTTGCGTAGAACTCTACGAGCATGGTCCCGTATGACTCTAGTTCTTCGACGGTGATGGCGAGGCGGAAGTCGTTTAAAAGGAGGAACTGTAGTTCCAAGTGGTTGAGCTCCACCAGTGGAAGACCGCCAACCTGTATATCATGATTAGTTGTGATCCATTAGTCAGATCAAGAATCACATACCTTTGCATAACGTGAATTGGTGTAGAAAACATCAGAAAAGAACTTGCTTGCACAGGTCACAGCGGCGATGACCAGTCGATGGATATTAAAGCTATCAACGACGAAGAAATGTGAAAGTGCCTCAGGATCCGACTGAGGTGAAAGGCCGGGTGAGATCGAAGTATTCGACCCCTGCGAGTCCTGCGCAGTAAAGCCTGTGGAGGGGGGAGGTGTCGCCATTGGAGAATCCTGCATCTGGTGGTCTCCTGGAGACTCGGTAGATGCGGATGAAGATCCGGATTCCTCGGCAGAGTCCCAACGTTGGTGCAGGTGGTCGAGCTGATCGCGGTTGACCAGCTCAGTCATACGGTCGAAGTAGACCAGCAAGCTTAGGAAGACCTCGTAGGTTGTAGGGCAATATTTGTGAATGCGAGTCAAGTAACTCAGGATGGTGATGGTCGGAACATTCTTTCCGTGGAATGCGAGTACGCTGGTAGCCTGAGGGCTAAGGTTGGAGGTGCCCTCGGGTGGCGGGATGTGGCGATGTACATGTTCGTGATGCATATCATTTGTAGTCGTGATCTTGGTCAGAAGCCCAGCGACCATCTCGATGATCTCCGTGACCGGCATGGAGCTAATCTCATACTGTCGTTGCTGCGACGCCGTTCCGGGAGTGTGGGAGCTCCGCGATCCCATCAGATCCTCATTGGCGAGACTCTGGATATGGGACAAGCTTTGGACGCGAATGCGACTTGGTGAATTGGCTTCGGAGCCTGGCACAGACTGCATGGACTGGTATGTGGGTTGGAGGCGCGGTGAATCCGGCGCTAGCTGATTAGAAGAGTATGGGTTGATCCCGCTCTGGGTTGGTGGGGTATGTGTTGACGTGTAAGAGTCCGGAGGAAAGGCATGGTTGGGATGAGACGTCATCGAGGGCGGTCGTGGGGTGAAGTTGGGAGTATCGGAAGAAGCACGGGAAGCTTGGGGTGTGTATGAGTTGATGTAAGCCGGTACATCATTCGCATGCACAGGAAGCCGAGCAGAGCCTACGGACGGTGGGGCAGTAGAGGTGGGGGGATTTGAGGAGGAAGTCGAGTGAGTGTCCATTGGCTGGGCGAACGAGTAAACTGAGTCTGAACCTCCCAACACGTCGTTATGATCCGACGGCACGTGGTTGACGACAACGGAGCCCATGTCAAGGCTATCGTGATCTGTTTTTCTGCGGGAACACGGGTCAGCAAGGCGGTCGCAGCTCGGAGGCCATTAAACCACAGGTACGTAGAAAAAAAGAGAATACAGAGAATAGAGAGGATAGAGGGGATAGAGAGGATAGAAATGATATACGCAATACAAGGGAAAAGAGAGAGAGAGGGGTTTGCATACACTTTTAATTACCACAAGGGCTAGACCACAGAATCGGGGAAAATCCCCGGTCTAAAAAGGAGAGGTCGAGGATCAACGACTGTCGATCGAATCCATTGAAAAGGAAGAGAATAGAACAGAAGAACAAGATAGGGGAAGAGGACAAGTAATCTGGAGAGATATGGAGAGATATGGAGAGATATGGAGATATATGGGGAGTTGGGGAAGGGGAGTTTGGGTCAAAGTGAGATCGGTGAGGTCAGAATGTGTGGCTCGGAGATGAAACAGGATTCAATTAATTAAACACTCAAACTGGGAACTTGTATATAATTGTCATTCTTGTTTGGACTAAATAATAAAGGAAATATATATCAAAAAAAAGGAAACATACTCTTCAAAAAGAGATTATCTACCTGTCATCTTAGTAAAGAGATATAAGAAAGACGGTGTAGAGGGTCTATAGGTCAGGATATATTGACGAATGATAGAACGATCTGCGAGCCCGTGTTAGGGATGATTCGGACATTGTCTTAGCGTTTACTTTACCCTCAGGGGATTTGATATGTTAGTCCGGGGATGAATCCATCGAATATTAGAATGCTAATGCGGATATTTCCCGACATATAGAATGCATTCTCCTTCCAGGATATAAACTTGCATCAAAGAATAATAATGGAGAGCATGGCAGTTCATATGCTGCATGTGGGATGTGACATGTTCTGCCTATCTAACCTTAGAAGGTCTGGGCAGTACTAATGGATACTGCAGATCTAGTGTTCGGTTTCTGTGTTCTACAAGCTACTACAGTATCAAGTCCCTCATACCATATTGTAATAGACCAGGGTATATAAATCCGGCGTTTTTCCCAGCTCATGTATAACACTTGGCAGTTATGACCCAATAGCCAGTTGGCCGAACACTTCCGATCTGGTGCCTCTTGAACTGCTCGGTCCTTTTCGCCCTACATAGCCCGATGATAAAGGTGGGGGGTATGGCAGCACCCGTGGACTAGTGCCAGACTTGTCATAGATTCGCGCTCAGACACTGTATATCCCTCGGTGGGGGCGGATAACAGAATGCGAAGACCGGAGAACTGGGATCATGAAACCATTTCATTTGGAGATGGACGCAATATTAGAACACTTATTAATTCGTCACTCCCGGCCCGGTGTAGCCGTTGTCTGGCAGGTAGAGATGTCTCACGGCACCGGCCTTGGTTAGGACCACAAGACGAATGACACCACCGGAGCTGCCGTCCCACTTAATCGCCTCCTGCAAAGCACTCCGCACGAAATCAATGCCCTCTTCCTCCGTCATCTGTTCCCGCCAGTGGGCATCGGTATAACCGTAGATGTAGGTTGAGCCCGAACCGCCGATAGCGAACGACTGTTTGTGAAGGGATCCTCCCAAAGGTATCGAGAACACCTGACCTCCATGACGTGCATCCCATCCGGCAAGGATGATACCCGCACTATTGCTCAGTTAGCATGGATTTCGAAACCAACAACCGATGATGCCAAAGACTCGGGTACAGACCTCAACGCATCCTTGTTCTCGTAACACAATTCCTGGAAGAGTGATGCAGCAACCTGTGTGGTAGGGGCCTCGGCGTTCGTTACGCCGTACATGTTGAGATGGTAGGAGACAATGTCGGCCACAGCCTGGGTGTCTGCGGCGGAACCCGATCGACAGCACCAGATGGTGTCGTGCACCTGTGTCAATTTGTCGGTGACTCGGTTGGCAATGTAGGCACCGGTGGTTGTTCGACTATCTGCACCCAGAATGACTCCGTCTTTGAAGTTGATGGCCATGCTGTTGGAATGTTAATGGTGATGTTTGGAGATGGGAAGGTTCGAGAGCTTCAGCTCAACTCACATCGAGGTTCCCAAGCTGAATGAAGAACGAGAGGTTAGTACATGTTATATAGCACCACAGCAAATGATATCATCGTGGGATTAGCTTACTTGACCTCACCAGACTTCAGGTGGTTCATGTCGACGTGAATGCCATCTGGAGAGATGTTAGCTGGTTGCTGTCGGCGGATGACGATAGCTCTGCTAACCTTCACCGAGCATCCCTGATGTTCCATGGGGGGCGACCATTTTGTGCTGTGTTCAAGAGAAGATAGGGCGAGTATAAAGATGACTTCAATAGACCAGATAGAAACGGTAAGGAGAAGTAGGAGGTTAAGGGAAGAAGTAGAGGTGATGCTATCATGAACACAGGCAGAAGCTCACAACGCGGCAGCTCGGGCGGTGAGGCCCCAGCCCCTGCGATCGACTTATCTTCTCCCCCGCGAGACTCCTGAAGCTCAATTACCCTTTTCTTCTGTGGCTGTTCCTATTAACTTACTGTATCCATCTCTGGTTGCATTTACCATATTTGCTAGTCGATAATTTTGCAATACCAGAATCTCCCAGACCTCGTTTTGTCGCGTTCTCTATCTGGTCCCCACTCTTAAAGTGCCAACTTGAGCGCCATGTCCGACTCCCCTCCACCTCCGTCTTGGAGCATCAGCAGCATGGCCAACAGTGCTGCGCAGTTCATGCGACTTCCTGTTCTTGCGTCATCTGGTCTAGCTGTTGTTGCAAGTGGGCTCCTCTACTTCAAGCAAAAGTACGCTATTGGCATCGGCCATTTGTTTACGGAGCTAACCACTTTGCCTAGTGAACTAATCTACCCCCGCAATGTCCCAGTGGATGCGCGCACAAATGTCCCTAGTCCTCGCCAATTTGGCATCACCGACTTTGAAGACCTCCAGATCCCCACGCCCGACGGAGAGTCCTTGCACGCCTTTTTTCTCCGCCAACGACCAGGGCGCTTCTCTCGCAATCTGACAGTCCTGATGTTCCACGGAAATGCAGGCAACATCGGTCACCGTGTCCCCATCGCCAAAGCTGTGCAGGATACACTTCAGTGCAATGTTTTCCTGCTGGAATACCGCGGATACGGGATGTCCACAGGCACACCGGATGAAGCCGGTATCAAGATCGATGCTCAAACCGGCCTTGATTACCTACGACAACGCCCAGAGACAAGGGATACCGAGATTGTTGTCTACGGACAAAGTTTAGGTGGAGCGGTCGCGATTAATTTAGTTGCCACCAACCAAGAGCAAGGTGATATCGCAGGACTGATCTTGGAGAACACTTTCCTGAGCATTCGGAAGTTGATTCCAAAGTATGTTTTCAAATTATCAGCAAGATTTCCGGGCGAGTAACACTAACTTAAACTCAGTGTCTTCCCCCCAGCACGCTATCTGGCACGTCTCTGCCACCAATATTGGACCAGTGAAGATGTGCTGCCTAAGATCACTAAAACTCCGGTTCTTTTCCTGAGTGGACTCAAGGACGAACTCATTCCGTAAGTTCGTCTACTCCAAGCGCGGCGTTCTCATTGCTAACCTCCCTTAGCCCGTCCAATATGACCCAATTATTCGCCGTTTGCCAGTCCGAATGCAAGATCTGGCGCACACTCCCGAACGGCGGTCATAATGACTCTGTGGCTGAGCCAGGCTACTTCGAGCACATTCTTTCTTTCATTACGGAAGAAGTGCTATCTAATAAACAGTAGACCGATGTGACTTATTCCTCTTGCTCGGGTTGTTCGAATCCCCTCTGGCGAACCCTTTGCCTAAGACCTCCCGTCTCAGGTCTTCCTTTCCGCCAAGAAGTGTAAATACTTCAACCTTGGCTCCAATGCTTGGCTGTCAAACCGTTTTTCGACGGCCAATCTAGATGTCTAGTTTCGGCCCCTACAACACAAGAATCAATTAACAGGAACTGTTAATTATGACCATGATACCCCTGCCACACAACCAAGACACGACTTTTCCTTTGCATCTGTTCAAATGATCACGGCCTGCCTCTTATGGCCCATACATGGCTGTGACGACTTCCTTTATTGACCCCCCAAGCCCTCGGGGCGAAGGGCCATGCCTCCCATTTGATTGAGAATGGCTCTTTTCTTCTAACTCTTCTTGTCCAATATCCGTTCGATTCTTGTTTACTTCTTGTTTCCTCCTTGCTCACTGATATCATACTCGCGGTGTTTACAATATTGGCTCAAGGTCGGGCGCTGGGCGTGTTTCTTTTCTCTGCTTATTTTTCTACGGACCTTTGCCTTTCGCCTTGCTTATCAGCTCCGGCAAGTTTCCTTCTGTGCAAATACTAAACGGAGAACCCTTCGCAACCCGTACGAATGTAATAATTTGATTCATGATTATTTCACTGCGCATTCCTGGATACCCATCAACAGATCTTATGTTGATATTATCCGATGGTCCCCAAATTCCTAAGGTGGAGGCCTTGCACCCTCGAGAACCACCCATTGCTTACTTAGGTTGCTTCGGTGCCTGGATTGCCAGAAGAGGGGCATAGTAAGCAGCAGGCACGGCCCCGGAGCACCCCCCAGCTTACCCACATGCCCAGGAAACTTTCAAGATCCTCCGAAGGCCTGGAGAAACATAGACCCGGAAGGGAGTCTCATATAACTTACTCTACACTCAAATGCTGCACACACTTTGCTATAAGTACATTGTCATGTAGCACTTCAACCACTACTTTACACAATTTCAACACAATCAGCCCTAGCCGTCCTCTTTCCTGTTATTTCTCCCGAGTTCTTCTACTATCCCTTGTACTATTCCAAGTACAAGATGGACACTTCAAGTGACCAACCAACCATCATGACCCCAGCATGCAATACAGTTGAATGGTATCGACCAACCCTAGACCAGCTCCCTGCACCAACAGTGGAACTGTTCCTACAATACACAGGCTTGAAATCCGAAAACGAAGTCAAAGACCATATATACAAAATCCGCGACAAAGCATGGCAGATGTAAGCAAGACACCCTTGAAAACACCCCAGAATGAGCCATCGTGCTTTCTAGCAAAGGCAACGCTAATATCAAAGTCCCCATAGCCATCCATACCCCTGCATCGGACTATTTCGCTTCTTAAACTTCAGCATAAGCCTCTCCCCAATCTACACACAGGTAGTAGACCGCGTACGCAAGGGGCAGACCTTACTAGATCTAGGCTGCTGTTTCGGGCAAGACCTACGCAAGCTGGCATTTGATGCAGAGCTGTCTTCAGCCACGAACCTGATCGGGGCAGATATCGAGGGTGATTTTGTTCAACTGGGGTATGAATTATTCCGAGATGAAGATTCCTTCGGGGCGCAATTTGTGACTAGGAGCGTCTTTGACGAGGACTTCTTGGTTGATCGACGTGGGTCTATTGATATGATTTACTTGGGGAACTTTTTGCATCTGTTTGGCTTTAAGGAGCAGCGGGCTATTGTTGCTCGCCTTGGGAGGCTTCTTGTTCCTAGGGCTGGTTCTGTGGTTTTTGGACGCAATATTAGTGCGGAGCAAGGAGGGCCGTTCTTTATGGAGAGTCTTGGATGGGATATGTATCGGCATAGTGATCAGACGATTAAAGAGCTTTGGAGCACTGTGGATGTTGGGTTGTGGGAGGTGCATAGTCAATTATCCGGGTATGAAACCGCGACAACTCTGGGGGAGAGGTCTGGGGATTGGCAGGGTGGTGATACTAAACAGATGTCATTCTGGGTTGTTAGGACTGATGGTTGAATGTATTAGAAGAGAAATGATTCTTATAACCCGAGGCGAGCTGGAATAGAATAAAATTTATATATCACTAGCTTTATCCAATGGTTCGATTTCCTTGAACAAGGCCATCAATAAGGACTCATTAACGCATAAAAATCTACGACGTTTGTGCTACTTGTTTAGATATCAGAATACCAAGCAATTGGAAATCAATTTCTTCTTTTTTCATTTTTACATCCGTTCCATGCGCAATAGCCAATTCTCTGGAGACATCCGTGTTTATTATTGAAACCACAAGAGCCCAAGTCCCAGAAATCTATAAAACCATTACACAAGATGGAATGGGGTGATACATATAATACAAGTCACAAGGTTTAGTACAACAGAGTCAAACTACTCAAGTTTCTCGGCCTCATCCACCAATTCCTCAACCTTGAAGTTCTCAACATCACCCCGGGTGAACATGCGAACAAGTTCACTCTTCCGACCAGCAGCCTGTCCCTCAAAGTCATAGAAGCGCTGCACACAGCTAACAAGCCAAGTGGCCTCGGGTGCCGAAACACCGCCTTCAGGAATAATCTGACCATGCATAAGGACCAAACCCTTCTCATCCGCCAGATCAAGGTGGTGAGTGATAGTAGTATGAGGCTGGGCAAAAGCGCCGTGCATCTTATAAACACCCAGATTCGTGAAGATCACAGTAGAGGTGTGGCTATTAGAAGGCGACAGAGTGGACCCCTCAGCAGGCGGGTGGAAAGCCCATTGGAGGAAGTGAATGTCGGCAACGGTGCCAGCTCCCTCGGGCGCTTGCGCTGCCTCTTCGGGGGTCTGCGGACGCGGGAGGGGTAGGATAAACTGCGGGTTCTCGCGTGCGGCCTGCATGATGCGCTTGTATGTGTCGAGGGGGATAGCGGCGGTGATAGCGTGCGAGTTCTCCGCGAAGCGGAGACGCCACAGCGCTTCGATCTCCTTGGCTGGGAGCTCGCGGATCTTCTCGACGTCCAGGTAGCTGCTGAGGGGCTTGACGGGGCTGGAGTCGCCGGAGACGGCGCGTGCGGCTTTGGCGGTGCGCGATTCCTGTGGGGGAGGGGGTGCCTGGAATGCTGGGGGTGTGCCTGGGACGGCGGTGGTGGATGTAGGAGTGCCGGGTTCTGGGGTAGCTGCGGTGGATGCTTTGCGGCGGAGATCTTGGATTTTTTCGTTGTAGGCTTCCTTCAAGGACTCGACTGAGTCATGTCCCTCTCTGGAAAATAGTTAGCATTGAAGTGGAAATAATTGTTGAGGGAAGTTTGCTCACTCCTTGGCCTTCTGGTCCAGCTTGGACCGATACTTGTCCAAGACATACTTGGGATCGTGGTGTGAGGCGAGGAAGCGTACGTCGTGGACCTGAGCCCACCGGCGCTGCTGATGACGCAGCAGGTGGGAGTTGCCACGGATCACCGATTGGAATCCCTGCAGTCGGAATGATGGCATTTTGAGTGTGTAGAGTCAATAAAATGAATATCCGAATCTCCAGATAAGAGAAATAGATGACATAATTACTGACATAAGCATTTCTATTTCTGATTCATGCCAGGGAAATAAGGCAGAAGTGGAAATATCAGACATCAATATTGCCTAATTGGGTCATGTGGGTCCCTTATATTTCACTGGACAGTAAATATTTTTGAATCCTCCTTGGGTAGACCAACCGTTAGCTGCTATGCCTTCTGCGAGCTTAGGGCGGGAGCAGACTGCCATATTGAGCCGGACCGGCGAGACCGATGCATACGTTCAACACAGCATCAGAGGATTCATTCCTTTTTAATCCTTTGGACTTCAGAGTAGGTGCCTACCACATGCCCAAAGGACCGACCGCCAAAGACAATAGTATTATACAACTAAAGAAGTCGAAGCAAAGAAGATCTAGTTTTCTAGCATGATCTCACCCCAGCAAATCTCCCCATTGAGCTTTACAAGCTACACCTTTCGACCCCTTCAGCTGGGGATTGTAGCCACAAGGCTACCTTTTCAATCTTTTGATTTTTAATACATCTGGATTGACTTGAAATGGCGACTCAAAAAAACAAAAACAATCACCAACACATCATCGTACGTACATCCATACCTCGATTAGCTCCAACATGCCACTTCTGTTTCTCCACAATAAGGGTCCTGGCCTGTGCATTTATGTATAGTTTTTTACGAAACAATTTGATTTTCTTTTTAATAAATAGCCTAAATACCAGCTAATCATTTACGAACGTCTTTTCTAATATTTCGCATCTCCATACATCTATATCACAGTGGATCCACCCGTGTATATATATTAGTCATCATTTCACTGCCCAACCATGGTTGCCCATGTGGGCTGGGTCCCTGAAGTATAACCTTAAAAGGCACCGTCGCTCTAAATCCAGCTCTTCATCTCCCAATATTCCCCATCTCCCCCATCCTAGAAAAAGGAAACTAAGAAAAGTCCAACAAAAATGCCAATCCGTCAAAAAGAATTCTCTACCCCACCACCCCATCCACCAGCGGGTACACCCAAGGACTCCCCATCCGCGCTGCCCTGGTACTCCATCGCGCCGGGGGTATGGGAGTTCCTCCTAAACGGCGACGCAGAGCACAAAGCTGTGTTGCAGTGGTGGGAGCCAAACACTGTCTCTGCGCAGACAAAGCCAATAACACATACCTACATCGAAGAGGTCTGCACTCTGCGCGGCGGGCTGGAGGATCTTTCGCTCGGGCAGTCGTGGGGTATTGGTGCTTATGCATACCGGGAGCCTGGAATGGAGCATGGACCATATCGGGCAACGAAGGAGGGGTGCTTGCAGTTTGTTAAGGTCGTGCCAGTGAAGAAGTAGGAGTTGAGGGTTTGGGTTTTTTGAGTGTGTAGTTGGGATCTATGGAGACTAATGGCTACGTCTTTGGCTATTTGGGGTCTGCGTATTGATAATTTGGTCTGGTTTTTTGGGTGGTGGTTTTCGAGTTTTCAAGCTAGGTTTTGGTTTTTTTTTCTCTTCTTTTTGCTTAGCTATGCTAAAGCATGATGCGTGATGCGTGTGACGCTTTCGATATGTGATATTGTACTGTGTATGATAAACTCCAAACTCCGAGATTAATGCAAGTGAGTACGCAAATAATGAGAAATGTCCACCGCTGTTGAAACACATTTCATGTTGTTTCTCAGGTCATCAGTCATCAAATCCTGTCCAAAAGTTTAGACTGGCACATCATCTGTAACAGACGCTTCAGCCTGAGTTGCTTGGACCTGAGTGGGGCGATCGTCCACAGGAGTCTCGGTCTCAGGAGCAAGTTCAGGCTTTCCCTCAGGGTCCTCACGAACGGATATTTCCTGGTCCTGGTCCTGGTCCTGGTCCTGGTTCTGTTCCCCCGCTTCCTCCTTCTCTTCCTTCTCCTCAGCCTCTTCCCAATCATCAACAACCTCAGGTGCAGGTGTCTTCGCACGCAAAGACTTGCCGACCCCAACACCAGATCTCAGAACCAAACGCTCCTTCTTCGCCCCATCACCATCAAGAGCAGCATAGATAGACTTGCTCACCCACGAGTTCTGAACCGGAGTTCCAGTCCTCGAACTAGCCCCGCTACCACCCTTACTCTTGGAAGCAACCTGAGCCCATCCACCGTCTCCAGTACTAGCCTGTGCTTTAGCGGCTTCACGGGCGGCCTTAGCCTCGACGGCAGCGACACGACGCGCTTCTTGTTCTTTGCTGCGCTCGCGCTCGCGGAGTTTGACACACTCGCGCACGCTCATGCCGCCAATGCCGATGGTCGAGCCACTGCCCATGCCGAAGAGGGGAGGCGTCCAGGCAACCGGTTTCAAGACGAAAACGTGACGGTGGGGTTCTGGGTCGTGGCTTTCTGTTACGAAGCCCCAGTCTGCGGCGAGAGAATGCGCGAATGCGCGAAGAGTGGATTTCGCCGGCTGGAAGCGGAATGAGCGGGTAGGTTTATCTGCTGCTGCCAGGGCATGGAGATTGGATTCGTAGGTTTGGAGGGTTGATAGAGGGACCGAGCATGCGAGCTGGACGTATTGGTTCAGAGTTTCTTCCGAGTACGGGAGGTTCTCTGCTGTGATGGTTTGAAGTGTGGTTGTCTGGTTTATGTCGATACCGAGAGCGCCCGCCAGAGAGCGGTTCCGCTCCAGACGCGTGCATTCGTCGTCGCAGGTCAACGGGGTTAATTCTGGATGGCGCTGGGGCGACTGCACTTGGCCCTTGGAAGTCACGGCCTTGGCGGCGTTGCAGCGTCTTTCTTGTCGCAGTCGTCCACAGCCACATGTCACTGCGACCTTGGACGAACATGGTGTCTTCTCGGGACACGCGTACGGCGCGTGGCATTGCTCTGTGCAAGGATGACCGCACATCGTCTTGTTCTTTCCACAGGGCTGGCTGCAAGGTTTGGTTGCGTCTTCGCAATCCCCCGGGCGATGACAGTCCTTCCGACAGTAATGAGAGCCACACTTGAGCAGCTGCCCGCATACTTGACCGCAGCGCGCATCTGCCAGCCAGCAGGGAACGTTTTTCAATACCTTCTTTCCGCACAGACACGCCTTCTCGGTCAAGAATGGACACTTCGGACAGCTCTCCTCGTCCGTGTGGCAGGTATGTGAGGCTTGAGGGTGACCGCATCGCTTTGGACGCTCACAGGGGAAGTTGCAAGCGGGTGGCTTTGCACCACACGGCTGCGGGGGATACAGAACAGACCTTCCGCAATTACACGGAATCTCTTCAAATACTGCCTCCCTGCAGGTATTGCAAGCACCCTTATGGCAAAGCTCCGGACATGTGTGCCTTCCGCATTTCAGCATCCGGCCACATACGCGAGTGCAAATATGTTCTGCCTCGATGTCCTCGTCAGCAGGGCGGAGATGTGGCCTGAGTTTACGACGTGCAGCCTGGCGCTCGTTGGCCCTTTGCTCTCCCGGACAGCACCGTTCAGTACATGTGTGTCGACCACAGTGAAGAGTCGCCTTGCATGTGCGTGGGCACTGTGGAGGTTCATTCTGGCCTTGATGG